GCGAGGAGGAGATGAGCCAGTCAGGGTGCAGTATAGCACCAATGAAACATACAACTTTCCTCTAGTTCTTTAATGCTTCCCCACCACCACTATCATGATCCCAGTTCTACCTTACAAAGCCAGTTAGACCAAAGAATGTACACTGGTACAGATAATAGCTGGAAATGCAGGGAATCCAGGACAGATAAACCGCTCAGGACCAATAATAAGAATAGCAATACCAGGAGGGTAAGGGTAAGGTGGGGTGGAAAGGGTGAACCCATTACAGTGTCCAACCTCCTCCTAGGGGGATGGACAACAGAAAAGTGGGTGAAGGGAAACAGCGGTCAGTGTAAGACATGAAAAAATAATAATTTATAAATTATGAAGGGTTCATGAGGGAGGGAGGGGGGAAATGAGGAGCTGATACCAAGGGTTCAAGTAGAAAGAAGATATTTTGAGAATGATAATGGCAAAAAATGTACAAATGTGCTTGACACAATGGATGGATGGATGATGATAAGAGTTATAGGAGCCCCCAATAAAATGATTAAAAAACAACAAAAAAAAGAATCCTTCAGTACTGTAACTCAAGACTTCCATTTGTCCTTCGGTTCTTATAACTTGAAAAATACCAAGCATGCTCTTCCCTTTAGGTTTTCTAATGCCATGTCTTTGTACATTTCATTATAATTGTCCTTTTGAGCCACCCTTTGAAACCATCTGTTTAGCTCTTTTACTTAATCACTTTGCCCCTTCACTCTAGCCATTGTACATTCAAGAGCAAGTTTCAGAGTCTCTTCTGGCATCCATTTTGGTCTTTTCTTCCAAATCTTTTGGCTTTCTTCATGTCACCCACGACTCATCCGGTCTCTAGTCATTGGTGTTCAATTTATCAAACCTGTTCCTGAGATGGTCCCTAAATCCAGATGGGATACACTCAACATCTACTGCGACTCTCGTGGGCTATTTTAATTGTCTTCAACTTGATATGAGCACTTGATGATACGTTCCATAATAAACCCCTGGCCCTGTTATGCCTTATGATTTAGGCCTTCCCCACCAACTCTTCCCACAGATGAAAACAATCCTGTGCATTCCATCCAGGGAGGTCTACTTGTTAGTCATAATTTATGTTGTTGAACAAAAAAGGCCTCTTCAATGAAAAGAAGTCACTGCACTTGCAAAATCCGATCATGTCATACCTGGTGTATGTATATGTTTTTAATCACCAAGGCTATATTTCCATTAACTGATCCTTCTTTGCTTCCAAGTTTGTCATCCCTATAATGGGTAACTATCAATGCATTTTGACAGCATGTTTGATCAATTTCAACCTGCAGAAATCATCACGATTTCTTTATCTTTGGCATTGGTGAATGATAGATAAGTTAGAATACCAGTCTTATTAACTGATCTTCCTTGTAGGCATATGGCTGTTGTTGGTAAGGGTACATAAGATTGCAAAATGAGAGTAGTACTATTTTCATTAAATATCATGCTGAATTATATTTATTTTCTGAATGACTCCTGTTCCAACAAGTGTAGGTTCTCATAACTTAACAGAGAAATATCTTGTTTATTATCCAGCCTACTACTATGTGGCAGGCATTGTGTCCTCAGTTGAGGACTAAAAGACTAGATCCCTGAGTTCACATGCTCCTTAACCAATTCAATCATAATCACGGAGAATAGGGCAGAGATACTCATACTGAGGGTTTTTTTTAAGTCTTAGATGGTTCTAATGTGCAAACAGGCTTGAGAACCATGAGTCAGAACTTTGCATCCATAAGTGCAGTCTAAAGACAAGCAGAATCTCTTGGTAGCTTGTTAGAAATTCAGAATCTCTGGCCTCACTTGAGCCAGATGAATTAGAATATGTATTCTAATGCATTTTAATCAGCAGTAACCTGTGAGAAGCCTTGGCCTAGAAGCATCTTGAACCAAGTCTTGTTGTTGGGTGCTGTTGACTCAGTTGACTCACAGTGCCTCTATGTAAACGGAACACAGCACAGCTTGTCCCTAGACATCCTCTGAATCGTTATGTTTGAGCCCTTCATTACAGCCACTGTGTCAGTACACCTTGTTCAGGGCCGTCCTCTTTATCACTGACCCTCCACTTTATCAAGCACAATGTCCTTCTCCAGCAATTGGTCCCTCCTGAAAACTCATCCAAAGTTGGTGAGACTAAGCCTTACCATCCTTGCTTCGAAGGAACATTCTGGTTATTCTTCAAAAACAGGTTTATGTGTTCTTCTGGCAGTCTGTGGCATATGTAATATTCTTCACCAACACTATAATTCAAATGCAATATTTCTTGTCCAGGTTTTCTTATCCATTGTCTACATTTCACATGCTATACCTATGAGGTGACTGAAAATACCATGGTTGGGGTCAGGCACACCTTAGTCCTCAACCTGTCATCTCTGTTCTTTAATAGTTTAAAGAGATCTTTTGCAACAGATTCTAAATATGATTTGTTGATGAAATAAGAATCCTTCCTCAACTCATACTTGGCCCAGCTGTGTGTGAGTGAGTGTGTGTGTAAATGAATCTACAGAAACCACATAGGACAGCTCCTTAGTATTCAACAGATAGCTAGAGGTGAGTCCTACCGTTTTATGGAGCAGGACACCGGCTTGATGTGAAGCAGCTGAGAGTAGATCACTTGTACACTTAATTCATGAGAGTGGCTGAATCCAATGAGGGAATCAAAGTGGGAAAGGCACAAAATAAATTTTAATGTTATGTGTGGCACAGTGGTCATGCGTTGGGCTGTGCTCCTCAAGGCCTGCAGTTTAAAACCACCAGTGGCTCTGTGAGAGAAAGGCAGGGCTCCTACTCCCAGGAAGAGTGAGTTTCGGAAACTCTCAGAGGCCATTTTACCCTGTCCTATAGGCTTGCTCTGAGGGAGCACCGACTCCATGGCAGTGAGATTGGTTTGGAGTTGTGTGACCATTACTGATATTGTTAAAGGGCTGAAGTTAGTAAGACTAAGGACAAAACAAGTTTTTCCTTAAGTCTAAAATATTAATCTCAGCCATACAACAAAAATTCATTTTTTTAGGTATACAAAGTACTTCTAACCTCAGGTCCAGTGCAACAGGATCTCAGGTCTTGGGATTTGACACAGCTGATATATTCCTTTGGAGTCCTTGGAAGAAAAGGAAAGTTAAGTGTTCCACTACTAACCAAAAGTTTGGTGATTCAAATCTTCCCCATCTTTCTAGTAGCACACAGTGCTACTTTTGGCTCCATGGAAGCTATTTGTGAACACACATACACATACACACACATAAAACCAAACCAAACTCATTGCCCTCGAGGGAATGCTGACTCACAGGAACCCTATTGGACAGGGTAGAGTTAACTGCCTCTGTCAGTTTCTAAGACTGGAACTCTTTTTTTTTTTTTTAATCATTTTATTGGGGGCTCGTACAGCTCTTATCACATGCCATACATACATACATTGTGTCGAGCACATTTGTACATATGTTTCCAATATCATTTTCAAAACATTTTCTTTCTACTTGAACCCTTGGTATCAGCTCATCCCCCCCGCCCACATCCCACCCTCCCTCATGAACTCTTGATAATTTATACATTTTTTTCATGTCTTACACCGACTGCTGTTTCCCTTCACCCATTTTTCTGTTGTCCATCCCCCTAGGAGGAGGTTGCACACTGTGATCGGTTCCCACCCCCTGCCGCACACATACTTTACCCCTACCCTCCTAGTATTGCTACTCTTACTATTGGTCCTGAGGGGTTTATCTGTCTGGATTCCCTATGTTTCCATCTCTTATCTGTACCAGTATACATCCTCTGGTCTAACCAGATTTGTAAGGTAGAATTGGGATCATGATAGTGGTAGGGAGGAAGCATTAAAGAACTAGAGAAAAGGTGTATGTTTCATCTGTGCTATACTGTACGCTGACCGGCTTGTCTCTTCCCTGAGACCCTTCTGTAAGAGGATGTCTAACTGTCAGATGGGCTTTGGGTCTCCACTCTGTCCTCTCCCCATTCACATCAATATGACTTTTTGTTCTGGGTCTTTGATGCCTGATACCTGATCCCATCGACACCGCATGATCATACAGGCTAGGGTGCTTCTTCCATGTGGGCTTTCCTGCTTCTCAGCTAGATGGCCACTTGTTTATCTTCAAGCCTTTAAGACCCCAGACACTATATCTTTTGATAGCTGAGCACCATTAACTTTCTTCAACATATTTGCTTAGACTGGAACTCTTTACAAAAGTAGAAAGCCCCATCTTTTTCCAAGGAGAGGCTGGAAGTTTCAAACTGCTGACCTTGCAGATTTCAGCCCTATATGCAATTACTACACCACCAGGCCTCCTGCAATATATACACACATACAGATTTATATATACATACAGATGTGTGTGTGCATGCGCATGTAGTCCTGCTGGTGCTGTGGGTTAAGCATTGAGCTGCTAACTGCAAGGGCAATAATTCAGACCCACCAGCCACTGCACAAGAAAAGATGATGTTGTCTGCTCCTATAAAGATTTACGGGGTCACTGTGAGTTGGATTTGACTCAATGACAGTGGATTTGGTTTGAATTTGATGTAATATTTATGTGCACATTAACATATACATCCCAAGATTTGAAGCCCTGTTGCACTGGCCTTATATCCTGCTTACTAATCACCTTTATAAGTCTCTCTTCACTGAACACTGGTGAGCTGTAAAAACTGTTCATGATCCTATATGCAAACTGGAACTGCTCCTATTGGTGAACATCTGGTAGAGCACAGGTGGGAGGATCCAGGGCAAAACTCAGAGGAGATCAAAGAACTTGAGGGTAATTTGGTGGTGTAGCCGATTCAGTCTTTACAGGCAACAATGAAGGTAAAGAATGACAAAATGCTATTATGTTCAATTTTTCTTAAGCTCTAAAATTAGTCCATGGGAAATTCATGATGCGGCAATTAATTTAAGTTGTTTCTGTAATACAGAAGGAAACAAATACTGACTCTCTTTGCAGCCATTCTCATTATTCATGGATCGTCAAAATGACCCCCGTGTCTCCCCTTTTCTTTTCTCCTACTCTTCTGATTCAAAATAGAGTGTACTAGTTCAGATCTGAGCGAGGAGAGCTGAGTTGAGGTAGAAGTAATGAAGGAGGATAAAAGAGGAAGCATATCAGAGACATTTAGGAAGCAGAAACAAAAGTGTTTTCCCTACTTGATTAGATCTGTACACTAAAACTGCCAGGAGAGGCTTTGAAGGTTCTGATTCTCTGGAGCCCACCCAGGCTGTTGCTTTTAGGTACCATCAAGTTGGTTCTGACTCATAGCAACCCTGTACACAACAGAATGAAACACTTGCGGGTCCTGGGCCATCCTGACAGTTGCTGTTATGTTTGCGCTCACTCTCGCAGCTCCTGTGTCAATCCACCTTGTCAAGGGCCTTCCTCCTTGTCACTGCCTTTCTACCAAGCACCGTCTCCTTGTCCAGAGATTGGTCTCTCCTAATACTATGTCCAAAGTACATGAGGCCAAGTCTCACCATTCTTGCTTTTAAGGAGCATTCTAGCTGTACTTCTTCCAAGACAGATTTGTTTGTTCTTTTGGCAGTCCATGGTAAGTTTAATATTCTTTGCCAGCACCATAATTCAAATGCATCCATTTTTCTTTGACCTTTCTTATGCAATGTCCAACTTTCACATGCACATCAGGTGACTGAAAATAGCATGAATGGGTAAGGCTGGTCCTTAAGGTAACTTCCTTGCTTTTCAATACTTTGAAAAGATCTTGAGAAGCCATGGTGACAAAGTGGTTAGGATGGGGTGTCAACTGCAAAGTCAGTAGTTCGAAATCACCAGCAGGAGAAAGATGAGGTTTTCTGCTCCCATAGTTACTGTCTCACACGTTCACAGGGAGAGTTCTACCCTGTTCCACAGGGTCGCTATGAGTTGGCATTGACTCCTGTGGCAATGGGTTTTTTATTTGTTGGTTTGTTTAATGAGGTCTTTTGCAGCAGATTGACCAATGCAATACTTCCATTGATCTCTTGACTGCTGCTTCCATGAGCATTGATTGTGGACCCAAAAAAGAGAAAATCCTTGACAACTTCATTCTTTTCCCGTTTATCATGATGTTACCTATCGGTTCAGTTGGGAGGATTTTTGTTTTCTTTAAATTGAGTTGTAAATAAGAATAAGGATTGGGTATTTGAATTTTTAAATAACTCCCCCAAATTATTCTGAGATGGTAATAACTGGAAACACTGTTTCAGGGAAGGATTATATCTTGAAATGAACAATGTTTGTTCCTTAACTTTTTATATATAGTCATGTGCTGTATTATGTCTGAGAAATATCTGGCTGCATATTGTATACCCATGATGCCATACGATTACTATAGAGTTCAGAAATTCTGGTCAGTGAACTGGATGTAGTGAACACAACTACTTCCAGCACACAACACATGTATCTCATGTCTTGTGAATACAAAGTAATTGTGCTGCCAGGCTCATAAGGGTACAGTGCATATATATCTGCCTTGATAGTCTTAATAAGCACCTATATCACTGGATTATGTACTGTACTATACTTTCTCTTGAAAAAAGCTTACTGTATTACAATGTACATATAACAGACTTCTACCTGTAGGCAGCAGCCATCCAAGCTTACGTATGGTGGACCTCCTGGGTTTCTAGTGTTTAATTTTCCTTTGAAAATATTAATATGAAATCAATCTTGGCTCCCAAATTCAGCAAAACCAGTGCTAGTTAAAGCAGCAGCAACAGGTACAGGAGAACTATAGAAATTATACCAAAGATTATTAAATAACACAAAGATAGAAAATCAGTGAAAGCTACTGCTTGGGATTTAGGCATGTAGCACCTGACAATCACGATAAGCCTGAAAACATCTTTGTACTGTTAAAGTGACAGGCTAATGAAAATGAGAGAGGGATTTATATCAGATATGGAGAAATCACTAATCATGTGGACTGAGGACCAAGCACAAAAGCAAGTCCCTCTTAGCACAGACTGTGACTACTAAAGCATACAGCTTATTTAAGATGCTAAAACAAAACAAAGAACCAGACTAAGATACAAGGGGGTACTCCTCCATCACCCCCCCCCAAAAAAAAACCTAGACAAGTACACATAGTATGCATTTTTCCTGTGGGCAAGCATCGAGCAACTCGCTCTGTTACTGTACCCAAACGCATCATCTGGGAAGGTTCTCTCTGGACACAGTGAATTTCTTTTTGAGCAAAAGCAGTTTTGCTCAAACCTCACTTTTTGTGATGGCCAATTTAAGGGTCACTGCAAAACTGGCCGATTTAAGGGTTTCTGAGAAGTTTGTACCTGTTTCTGGCTGACCAGGAAAAAGAGAGGCTAGTGGAGACGTGCGGTGCTTTGAAAAAACAGCTCCAAAGTGACCCAGACTTTTTCCCAAGGTCATCACTAGTGATGAGACATGGTGCTATTCTTATGACCTTGAACACAAACATCAATCAAGCCAGTGGAAGACACCATCATCACCTCGCCTGAGAAAAGCTCATCAAGTGATGTGAGGCGGATAGTGAATTTGGAGTTCCTTCCACCAGGCAGACTGTTAATCAAGCATTCAATTTAGAGGTTCTGAAAAGATCACATAATAGTGTGCAACTAAAAAAGGCCTGATTTATAACTGATGTGGAACTGGTTTTGCTACCATGACAATGCACCTGCTCATGTAGCCATCTCAGTGAGCCACTTTTTGGCAAAAAACAGCATGCCTATCTTGCCCCAGGCACCTTACTCATCTGACCTCACTCTGTGCAACTTTTACTTGTTTCCATGAATGAAGGACATAAGGGACAGCAATTTGACAACGCAGAAGAGGTGAAGAAAAAAACGAGGTAGGTGTGGCTGTCAGCCATCCAAATGGATGAGTTTGAAAAATGTTTCCAAGAATGGAATCACAGATTTGACAGATGCATTAAGTGTAATGGAGAGCGCTTTGAAGGTGATAAGGCTCTTTTCTAAAATAATTTAAATACATAGCTTTGGGAGAAACAAATTCCAGTTTTGGGGGGGTACTCCCTCATATGTAGTTCACCGAATATCCAAATCACATAAGGTCTTAGGTGCTGTGGTTAAGCACTTAGTTGCTAACTGCAAGGTT